AGAAGTAGCTCAGTACAGTTCAGTGTACTTCAAGTCAGTAGCTCAGTATACTTCGTTAATCCAACTTATTTTAGGCAACTAATCTATCCTAGAACAACAAAAATGTGTAAATAGAGTTTGAAAAATATTTGATTGTTTTGGGCATAAAAAAACTATTAAAAATTAGAAGAACATAATAGGAGAATCAAGATGGCACCTAGACTCACCAAAAAATTGATTTTCAAGAGTAAGAGGACTTCTTTGATTAATTAGCTGTTAATTGGGGTTTCCTAATGCGCAAATAATTTTTCAGTACTTGTAATAGCTCTCGAAATTTTAGGGTTAATAAAGAGGCTTACCATCAGCAAAGGCGCGGTGTCTTTGCTCGACAATTATTGGGCCCTCTTAGACGCCCTTTTTAGCGCATTTTCTCATTTATGGAAAAAAGGCACTATTGTGCTCGTCATGTCCGTCCGTCTGTCTGTCTGTCCGTCCGTGACTACACGTTTCCGTCGATCAGAAAACGCGCTCTCTGTCACTCACTGCAGTGAGTAATGAGTTAAATTTTTTTCTGAAGCGCGGACGGCTTGCGGGTGCAGTAATATGAGTAAATCTCATACACATTATGAAATTCGTACGTATTCAGAGGTTAGTTGTTGGTATACAGAGCTTTATAGTTAACGACCGAAAATTTTGAAAAATGGGTACAAGTCTAAAAAATTCCTCATAACAATCAGCACCATAACATCAAGTTGGCTGCAAAAATTTTACGAGACGAACCTCGCAAACAACAATGTTAAATGATAAAGTCTGCCGTTTATTATTAAATCAAATTTTTTGAACGCAGTGGAGTACAATTTATGGCTAGGAGCTGTATTAAATTTGATACGCTTCAGCTTAAAAAAAGTCTACCATATATTATTGCATTTAATTTTTTGAACGCACTGGGGACAAATTTATGGCTAGGAGCTGTATTAAATTTGATACGCTTCAGCTTAAAAATAGGAGCTTACGATGTTCCATCCTACCACACGCCCACGTTTTAATGGCCCTGTGCCTTTCAAAGAAATCTTCAAAGAGGAAACTGCCAAGAAGATAAAACGCTGGATACAGAAGACGCTCTGAGCTGTCCATGGGCCTTTGTTCTTCCATCAACTAATTTCCACAGTGTTCTAAGTTTAGCATAAGCTAGTTCTCGTATAAATCACGTTAAGAATTTTGAGCGCGGTATGGAAACGAAAAATTGAATAGCAATATTGAATCAAAAAATTGAAACTCGACATAGAAGCGAAAAATTGAAGCGCGATGTTGAATCGAAAAATTGAAGCTCAAATTAAAGCGACAAATTGAACCGCGATATTGAATCGAAAAATTGAAGCCCGGTAGTATTGTAATGCGAAAAATTGAAGCGCGATGTTGAAGCCAAAATTTAAGCGCTATTAAAGCGAAAAATTGAAGCGAACGACAACTGAGCAAGACGAATTCAGCGTCCGCTATTCCGGGCAATATTACATCCATTTCAAATCAGCTCCCAAATCCCAGTTCTTGCTTAGCATTTATGCTCGATATTCATCCGGGAAATTTCAAAATTCAAATTTTCAGATCAAGATGTGAAGAATAAAAAATGGAAAGCAAAAATTTACAAAATCCGATCGCAGTGTGTTCAGGAATCCTCAATAAAAGTACTAGCAGCACTCAAAAGCCGCATTGCTATCTCAAGTTAAGTCTGTTATACGAATTCGACGAATGAATCTAGCTATTCTGCTTCACCATTCACCCGCAATGATTAAACTTACTACGTCTTACGTCTTGTAATACTTGCGTCTTGTAGTATTTACGTCTAGTAGTTTAACTACAGATATGAACCCCAAAAATGAGGCTTATTAAAATAATGTTACGTTCAGTTGAGCATTCGACGGATTCGATATTTATATGGAATTCTTCGCTTTAGATTCTTGCTTATCAACATTTCCCAGCCAAACAGTAACAATTTGATTAACTCAGCTAATTAATTCTGGAGTATACGATCAATGCATTTTCCAGACTTCGGAACTTGAATAATACAGCCTATCATATTGGACATGTTGCAAACAGTTGAAAATTCACAATAAAGATCAGGATTATTCTTTGCACCGTGTCATTAGTCGTAGGTCACACACATTGCTATAATCTGCTGTCAAGAAGTCAAGTATTTATCACATTCCACAGTGTTGTGAATACGCATCATTGTAAAATATATTTTTTATCGTACAATAACTCGTTCGTTTAAGCCTATAAGGTAACTGTTTAAAACATAAAACACTGTTTTGAATTCTTTTGTTGCTCATATTTGTCAAGCCTCGTCATTGGTAATAGAGGTCGTGCTTCGTGACAGGAATAAGAATTAAGCTCGATCTCTGAGTCGTTGAGTCGGCATCGATAGCCGAGCTTGACTTCATTTTACGTCAGTTGGACACGGTCGATTTTGGATTGATGGCTAGCTCGTCATTGCCAAAGAAATTACTTTGGATGTGATAAATTTTAATTGCATGATATAACGAGATATTTTTTCTTCCTCGGGTAGGAAAGTTCGCGATAATAATAACCGGGCTGCACAAAATTTAAGTTTTGTGAAGATAAAAGATATAAGCTGCGGTGTTCCTCACCGCTAACCGCAGCAAAAGGCGGTAGCTTAGTACGACCAAGGACATTTTTTAACAGAGAATATATCACGATTAATTGAGTTCAACTCGAGAAAAGTATACCAAAAGCATGATGATTAAATTACCTTAAAATATAATTAGTATAACGAGGTCAAATACAGAATCACATAATCAAATATGAATAGAAGCACAACTATCGTAATCCATGAAACTGCATACAACTCGTATACTAACACTATGCAGATGTAATTTTTACAATCATTATTATTCTATACATGCTATACATGTAAACACTACTTACCATAAAGAAAACATAATCATAGATTCTTTTTGAGGGCGATTGCTCATATATAATTCTCACTACTTCCTAAGTAAACTACCTAATGTTCTTTATAGATTTGAAAATTAGCTTTTTATCTCTTCTTATTTCCATTCATTATAGAAATAATTAGAAAGCAATATTAGAGTCGGGCTCGAAGAAACTATCAGGAAAACATATATTTTGAGAATATTCAATCAATTCCTCCGTCTCTAACTAATGTTTGCACCATGTCAGAGATGGTAGATATGTAATCGAATTCGAAGCAAACTACTAGTACGAAATAGGATACTCAATTACTGACTTTAAATTTGCTTTCAATTGTTCTTGATCTTGTCGTGGAAAACCGGAAAGCTTATTTCCTAACAGGCCAAGGTCACAGTCAAGTCTAGCGATGGTAATTATTCTCTTTAGGATATGAGGGAAGGAACAAGGAACTCGAGCCATTTTTGGGTGGAATTTTTCCTTGAAAAGGAACAATCGTCCAACGGGAACGAGTACGGCTTATTTCAGTAATGACCTTTGCCAAAGTTCCTCGACTGCAAGTCTAATGCCAGAATGAAATTTGTTTTCGTTGATTTACAATTATTGACTCCAAGAAGTCCGGTAAACTTAGTCCGAACTTAGTAAAGGAGGCCCAAAACTTTGGTGATGCGGCTCAATTGGATGGAGGAACTAACTGCAGCTAAATCTGGTTATTGTTATTTTAAAATTCTGCTACACGAAAAATTTTCTGTTCGTGAATGAAGATCCGATAGAAGAGGAGGCCCCCTTCCCTCGGATGAATTTGCTTTTTGCATCGAAAGTATATAAGGAGAGCATCGCAAAATTCTCGTAAAGAACGTCCTAGGCCAACTCTCTGATGGCCTCTTCGTTCTCGTGTGGTCCTTCCCCGAGAGCTGTAACGGTGGCCTTATTTGGGCGGCCTTGGGCGACTGATTTTTAGCGCATTTTCTCATTTAAGAAAAAAATGCACTATTGTGCTTGCCATGTCCGTTTGTCCGCCCGTCTGTCTGTCCGTCCGCGACTTCATGTTTTCGTCGACGAGAAAATGCGCTCTCTGTCACTCACTGCAGTGAGTACTGAGTTATATTTTTCAAGTTTTCTGAAGTCGCCAGACTAGTTCATTTCAATTCATTTTTTATTTTTATTGAACGTTTTTGCTATAACATAAAATTGATACCTAACTTCATCATTCACTACATACATCGCTCTTTTTATGGATTTAGTACGATGCTATTTTCATAGAATATTAGCCTGTAACCTAAAACAACAAATTACATGCGTAAGCTTTGTGATGATCCTGAGTAATATTCTCTGTTATTAATAATTGCTTCTATCTGTGACATTTTCCATCTAATATTTTACATGCTGCATATTTACGGTAAACATTAGTGGGTCAACCTATACTTCGTCTGTTTTACACTAGATGTTTTCGTTATTGATTGATCACCTTTTAAAACCTACAGACCGGCGGCTTGAAAAATCTCATAGTACGCACTGTAAAAAATGTCAGAAAATTTATTCATCACAGAAAATATCTGCCAACCTCTGAATAAAATTTCATTTACCCTTTTAATTATACGGTTGTACGAGCAATGGTCCCTCATTTATAAGATCGTCAAAATCCAGCTGGTTTATCTCGTTGCCTTTCTATCAATTACTAAATCAGGAAACTTTTATTATATCATGACTATGATTTAAGCGTCTATCATTTTTATTTCCGAAGAAAATTTAAATCGCTTGTTTACTTCTACACCTCAGGTACATCATCCAAACGGTAAAGTTACTTAATCCAGACAAATATAATTTCCACCCAAATATCAGCATGATTAATTGCGCTTAAACTTCAACTGTTTTCAAACAGTTGAAGTTTCTCTGTCAATGTAGCATGTTTCGCAATCTATCCTTAGATTTATTTTCAGATTTTCTACTGAATTCGCAGAACTTTTATTTCCCCTCACTTCATCTCTGGTTATAATAATTTGGTTATAATTTTTAAAATAAAATAATAATTTAATAATAACAATAATAATAATAATAATATTTTTTCTTCCCAGCCGAGGAAGGCTCCTCCCCTCACCGGGTTGCTCCCGCTGACTGCTTCTTGCGCCCTCTGGTCACTGTCACAGCAGACTGTGAGTTCTCCTAATGCTATTCCTACGAACACTTCATTTACTTTTCCTCTCATATCCCCATTCCTTTATTATTATATATTTTAAGGCGAAAAAGAACTTATCCTATCCTTCGAGATCCATGTTTATGCAAATTCCATTTAATTACTAGCTTACTACCTTATAAGCTAACAGCCTCATGATAGCATCGTTGACGCTCCGAGTTTGAACGCCTTCAAGAACAGACTAGACGAAGCTATGCAGGAGCATATGTTCAGTCTTGAAATGCCTAGCACCTTACGAGCGTTGCAATAAGTCCAGCAGCTATCTAAATCCATCGTCAGTTATGGAAAGATCGGGTTCCAAAAACCGGATCCCTTGTAGAATCAAGTCAAGATAAGTAGGTATAAGAATCTGCAACAGGCCATGGGTCTATTTCTTCAGTGCCGACACTTCTATTCTATTCCATTCTATATGTCTTCAGTCTTGATTGGGCACGATGCTTGTAGTTACGGACATGAAAGATAGCAGAAAGGGACACGAAACATAACACTAAAGGACACGAAACATAGCAGTAACGGACTCGAAACATAGCACTAAACTAAAGCGTAACACTAAACATAACGCTGTCTTGTTTAAGCCATATTGGATGTGTGACGATGTAAATAAGCGGTCAAAATTTTGCCACCATCAATTCGGCAAATGAGCTGAATTATTGTGTTATTGATTAGTCTGTTCTCTGGCATTTCAATTAATTTAGAATCTCTAGAACTTTCCATGCTTATGAATTTAGAGACTGAAATGTGTTCGATGGCCCATTAAAGCATCAATAAAATACTATTTCGTCACTTGACTAAGGACGTACCTCTTCTCACTGTAGCCCACAGGAAAGTTTTCATTAAAGGTGTAGAAAAGGATCCTTCAGCTGTAACAAGAAGGATCATACAGCTATAACAATAAGGATCCTACAGCTGTAACAAGAAGGATCATACAGCTGTAACGAGAAAATGTTTGTAGCGCAGAAGCACTTAAGCCTTATACCTAAGAATAGCGATCGAATTTCTGAAACTGATTTCCCTGCAGTATTTGATGCGAAGTTTTCTCTCTAATTCTTGCAATGAGTACTAGACTGAGATTTAATAATATGCATTTAAATAAAAATTACCTTTTAAAGACAACACTTCGAAACAATCCAGTGTCTCTGTTGTTACTACACTGTACAATGAATTTCTAATTTTTTTCAAATATTAAAAAAATTGTTAAATTTGTTTTTTAATATTTAAAGAAAATTAATTTTCAAAATTATTCATTCTGTCAATTGATTCATGCATTGTCTCCAACTTTAAGCAAGTGCGCAAAATTTCAGATCGATGGGAAATGTAGAAGTGTGTTAAATTTCGATTATAAGATTTGTAGCAGATCAACAAACAAACAACAAGAAGTGAAGTTAAAGGGAAGTGTTGTAAAAATAATGACAAGTTGTACGAATTTCCAAACCTTTACTCGCCATCGCAAACAATTCTTCCATTGACATCCACCTATATTTCACCCTTCACTGCGTTGGAATATCGTAAAAAAATTATTCGTTTGCCCGCAATCGGGAAATTGTCATCGATGTCGCGTTTTCAGTTCATCTCGCTCCGATGGATTAAAATAGAATTTACTCCTATAATTTCCGCTATAATTCATGCCGACATGTGATTATGGGAATCGTGTTTGATGAAGCCAGCGATAGGAAAATAAGAAATTATCTATATAATATGAAAATAAACTGGCTTAGCTGTACCCTGGCCATGTGCAGGAACCAAATTTGAACACAAATCGTATTTCAGAATCAGATCTTAATTTTCGTTTTCACGAGCATGAAAAGCTACGATCAAATTTAGACTCTTGCGTCTCGGAATGATTGGCTCGAAATGAATCGGAACAACCAGGACGAAACGAAAAATCACCTGGAATAAAATAACGGGACAGAAAATAAAATTAGTCGAGACATAGGGTTATATAAAATAACAATCATTTCCTTGTTCATCAAATGATGAACCGGGCCGGATTTGTGTCCCGAACTTTAAAACTCGTGTCCCGGTATTTACGAAACTATACGAGACAGATATATTTTAAACGGGACATGACGTAACGAGACACGGCATGTCTTAAATATTCAGGGCGAAACAAGATATTCCTTACGATGCGAAAACAAAGCCAAACATTGCGACCGCGTGGTTAAGGAATACCACGTTAGCCCTTGATTGTTCCTGAGGGGTCGCCTGCCGAAGACCACAACTGCCCCGGATATAATGTACCATCATGCTCTGAGCACTGGCCAGGCATGGGCGGATTCGGCGACATTTGGCTGCCAAACTAATTTGGCAGATGAATTAGTGTGCAGATTTGACTATGTATGGCTGAATACTTAGTGAATGATGCTGTTGCTGCGCTTTTAATCGAGCATATGACGAGAACCACACGAATTCTGTACGCTTAATGGCATCATCGCGAGTTGGCTACGCAGTGTCGATGGGTCAGCCGCTAGGTGTATTATAGAGTTGGGATGGGCTTTCACAGGACCAGCAAGATGCCACGAATCAGAAGTGATAACTAGAAATATTTTGAGGAGTAAAGTACAGGCGAGACTTATGATGGCCGAGGTATTAACCAGTCCAATACCCGGTGCAAACATTTTGGCGATATCAACAAGGTCAAAAATGGACTCACAACTCACATCGGTCATGCGTAGACCCCTTCTTCGTGCCGACGCTGGATGGTTCTCAGGCTGGAGAAAAGATGCCGGCTGAAACAGACTCTGATATGGCATTAACGAACTTGAGAACATCTGCAGTGAAGTTGAGGCTTCATTGAATTTCAAATGTCGAAACTTATATGAGAATAGTAGACAAATACGTCGTAAATCTTTATGTCGGTTGACCAAAGCCAAAGTTAACCCCCCAGTGAATGATTGGACAAAGTCTGTTATGCCATCACCACCTGCAGGCTACCGCAGATGAGAGTAAATAGTCCCAACCAAGTATAGAACGCGCCATTTAATGCTCTCCGAACTTGTTCAGTCGACCTCTCGGGCATTTAATTTTACACCAAAGAGTAGTACAGACCGTAGTTTTTATCGAAAACGAAGCCACGCACAAATTTGAGTCGATTCCTTGAGGGGAACTGGCTATTAATTAGATATGTTTTAAATTACATGTAATCCCTTCAGAGCTGAGGGACTTGGGAGCTGTTCAGTTGCGTACTTTCTTTTGTTTTAATCGAAAACAAAATGATGTGGAAATCTGTAATAATTCCTCTCGCTGCTTGTTTCTAACAATTATTTATGTCTTCAATTTCGATCAGGCCCGTCAAATTTGCTAGATGAGCGATGTCATTTTACATAGTAATATACCTGTAACGTTGTAAACAGACAAAATGTTGACAAGATAATGTCTGAAACAATATACTCTTCTAATTATATATTAAGGATTAACTTGTACAGTATGTCCGTTGTGTCTCGTCATGTCTCGTTATTAAACATGAAAATTCCGGGAAATTTTGAAATTCCTATTTTATCTGGAACGTCTCGTCTCGGTATTATTCAGAAATTCCCATGGAGTGTTGAAAATTGTCCCAGTTTTTATTGCTTGCCGGGACAAACCCTGTTGTCTCGTCTCGTCTCGAATGGAAAAAAGTATACCAAGCGCAGGAGTCCAATCAACTCTGTTTTGGTAATTTAAATCACATGAATTTGCTTTTAAGGTTTTGAATTGGGTCACGATCTACTAGTGCGAGTTCTATTAGAGAAACGAGAAGACTTTCACCTGACTTACATTAATATCAAAATGTAATTCAAATTGGAATTATCATCACTTCAGTAACTTCTTAGGTTTTGCAATGATTATTGACCATTTTATACTCATCGCAGACACTGTAGGATATGCTAGTTACGCAAATGTATTGTGGTTAGATATTGTCATATAAATATGGCAGAACCAGTAGCAATTGGCAAGTCTATGATTATGAAGCCTATGAGTACGTCTGCCTGAATGGGGAAGAAGTTCCCACTCTTGGGGGAATACGTATACGGTATCGCGGTATACGTATACGGTATCATTTCGGCCAAACCACCTCGTGAAATGGTAAGAACATTAATTGTATTGTATTTATTTGGATTATTATAGATTTCTATGCCTCATCTGTACAGTTTAGTTCTTAATACTCAGCGATAAAATTGAATCGTTAGCATGATGAAGAGCTTTTTCAAAAAGGTTCCTAACTCTAAATTTTGTATCGAATCGTAGGAAAATGAGGCGATAGAAGTAGAATTTTGTGTCAGAATCAACAAAAACAACAAATTTTCACGACATGGGGGCCATGATAGGTTTACTAATGATGCAGCGTCATGCTTGCAACGTCGTTTTGAAGCAATTGCACCATAATATGTAATCCCGCTTATATGAATCATCGTTTAGAATTCGCATAAGAACGCCGAAAACTGCTATTGTTACATCGACTTGTGATGTCATTGGACATCACAAGTTCAGCTCGACACAAAATGACTTGCCAGCCGCTGTAACAGACGAAGAAAATAACTACGTCCAAACCACGTATCACAACTCGGGTGATGAAGCAGAATGAACTTGTTACCACTCAGCTTCAAAATCAAGACATAAATACCTCCCCCTATATTTTGATTAATTAAATAGGATTCAAACAAAAACCGATTGACAATTAATTGAAATGAAAATTAATTGATAAGTTAATTGTGCTAGACTGCATTCATTCTTGAGATTATTTGAAATGAAGAACACTGGTATACCACGAGTGTTATAGGTTAATCCGTCACATGGGATCCGCGTCTATTTCTAAAACAGTTGACTTACGATTCAATTCTTCACAGAAGAAATAACTGGAAAAATTATCCGTTCTGAGCTATGGCTCTTTCCCAACAATATTTAGGGTAAGCACGCCGTATTCGAGCCTCATCGTAAATGATGAACACGCTATCACTAGCCATATGATTTCCATCGTAAACG